GTGATTCGACAGTATTAACAAACCAGAGGAGAAATAGTGGTACCTAGTCACCTTTCGACACTTTTTCACTTATATTAGTTGCTGCCGCCTCACCCGCCAGGGGTGGAAAGGGGGAGGGTTGGGGTTGGTTGTGGTTTTGGGGGCTTACGGGGAGATCGTCGTAGAAGTAGGCCTTCATTTTTGGTGATGGGGGTTTGCGAATATGGTGGTGTTGGTGTTGTGTGTGTTCTTGGCTTGGATGCCGGTGAGTTGACAGTGTGAGTGAGCAATGAAGCGAACAAGGCGGGGCTCCCAGGTTAAATCTGGTGGTGAGGGGCACAAAAGTTTGGCAAGATCGCCCACAGTGATGGCGAGATTTTGGTCTTGTTACTCAGCAATGGCACGCTCGTAAATCTGGATTTGGTATTGGCTGAAGTCTACAGGATTGTCTCACGAACTCCCAACACTGTCACCGTCATCAACGTAACATGTCTGTTGAGCTTTGCATTGCGCCATTCGTGTCGCTATCGATAAGTGGAGGCAGTGCCAAGAGATTCTCCATCCATTTCCAACCGAAGCGGCTTGGGCTTGGCTTCCAGGTTGTGTTGTGTGTTAGTCGAGTCACGTGGCTCCCCGAGCGACACCAAGTTCGTATTTCTTCTGCTACTCGGAGGCAGAATGGGATCCAGGATGTCAAGTTTTCCGCCTGGGCATATAACATTATTTATAAAAGTAATCGCTTCTTGTTTATGTTGAATCAACTCAAATTGGGTCCTGCTTTCGCCTTGACGCCCGCACAGGCCCTCGAGCCAAGTCCAGCAGGTGGCCTACCAAGTAGGCACCCTACCTAGGCACCGAACCACATCGTTGCCTATTGAAGCAGTGAACAGGCAGAGAGGCGCTCGGATATATAGTTTAGATCCAACTTACACAATAACAAATCGGCCGCGGTGACATAGCGCAATCATCCAGCGGCCGTGTGTCTCTTAGCTGGCCATTCCCCGGAGGTTCCACGGAACCACGGGTTCGGTCTCTCCCCCGATCACGAATGGCACGGCGGCGGAGGCATTTGCAAAAATCAACGCGGGTTTTTCGTAGCCAGAATTCCCTAGGGGCACCTAGAAGGAGCTGGTGAGCTTTTTTGTCTTTTTTGTATCTTTTTTTTCGTCGTGTTGCTGGTCTCAATTATCTTGTATCCATCAACCACATCGTATCTCCCCTCATCTCCTCTTTCACTCACCACCATGGATAACTCCTCACGATATCTGCCATCAGATCCACCATCGCGTTTAAGATCTCAGCTCATCCTCCGCCACCTCTTCCTCAACATCACCGCCCCATCCTCCAGCATCTCAAAATTCAACGCAACGCCAAATCGGAATCGTCTTCGTTATTCGCTGAATCCAGCCTTCCAATACCTCTTCCGCACCGCCAAATTAATCTAGGTATGGGATGTCAAACATCCCGCATCTTTGCACTCGCATGCGTATTAGACCATCTCGATCGCGCAGAGGTGCTTTTTCCCTTGCAAGTCCAACGCAGCGTTCAACCTCAACTGGTGACGCAGCGTAACATAATAATGACATTGTGGAATACTCAAAGGCCTTTTTAGAAAAGAGAATGCAATCACCTCATTGCAAGAAAGGAGGTCAAGCCCATACTTGGTCTGAACTATCAAATTTCACAGGTTGGGATTTCTCCATACCGATATTGATAGCCCCGGAAAGAGAGATTGTCTCTGCCAAGTTTGAGTGGGTCTTTGCTTAAATGGCAGGGTCTGAGCGCCAAGACATTCCGCTTCCCCCACACGGCTTTCAACCGCCGGTTTCCATCCAATCATTCAATCCACAACTGGCGTCAAAGAGGCGAGACCCGACGGTCTTTAGTGTTTTTTAGATTCCGAACTCTCTTGAAAACATAACATGAGTTGAAGATTTACTAGGCGGGCGCATGTGGAATTGGCATTGGCATCACCTCGCCGTTTGAATCGTGTTTCCACTAGTTTTCGCGAACACTCAATTTCTCCACCACCAAGCCATCGTTAGGAGTTTAAGATAGTTGACCGTTAAACAACCTCCCCGCGCTATCCGAAATGGATGCTCGGAGCATACACGATGGGTCATCCATTTCCGGGTCCGACCCATCCAAGATGAGGCTCCAACTCCCGGCAAGCTGCGACCCTCCACAGCCCGGGGCAGCCGTAAAGCCGCTAGTCTGGATTGTGCGCGCTTCTCCTCAATCTCAACCCCTAGCCACCCCCTAACCATGTTTCCAGATTTTCGGCGGCACCGGCCACATGGGCCGCTCCCTGGTCAAGTCGGCCCTCAGCCACGGCGACCTAGTCACCACGGTCGGGCGGGTGCTCGAGACGTCGCCCGAAGCCATCGCGACACTCAACAGCGACACATGCCTGGGCCAGCTGTGCGACGTGCGCGACGGCGCGTCGGTCGCGCGCGTCATCCAGCGCACCCTCACCCGCTTCGGCCGCATTGACTGCATCGCTCAACTGGTTCTGGGTTATGGCGTCATCGGCGCGTGCGAGGACCAAGACGAGCACGAGCTGCGCAACCAGTTCGAGACTAACTTCATGGGCACCTTGCACATTGTCCAGGCCAGCCTGCCCTACTTCCGCCAGCAGAACGGCGGTCGCTATCTCATCTTCAGTTCTACCTCGGGCGCCCTCGGTGTCCCCGGCCTGGGCCCGTACTGTGCGTCAAAGTACGCCGTCGAAAGGATTGAATGAAGCCATGCTGTATGAAGTCGATTCATTCAATATCAAGACGAACGCTGATCGAGCCTGGACTGTTAGTAGAGACGAGCCGGACTCCAAGACAAATCCCTTGCCCACCTGAGGTCCATTTCCTGATCAAACCCGCCAGCGAGGCATATTCGCACGCGACGTCGCCGGCGCTACACGCTAAGAGGATGGTGCAGTGGCTTGGCGACAAGCAGCCCACGAGCGCGGTCAAGTGCGCCGAACTAGTGTGGCAGCTAGGTCACTGCTCGTATCCGCCGCTGAGGTTGCTGCTGGGGAGCTACGCCATCGAGAGTATCCGTGATCGATTGCGGTCGGTGACGGAGGAATTGGAAGACTGGAAGCATCTCAACTACCCCGTCGCCCCGGATGCGCCAGGCGGAGAAAGGGGCGACAAGACGGACCGGGATGAGGGCGATGATAAAGAGGAAGTGGGGGACAGAGGAGTGCGGGATGAGGCGGAAGAGAAAGAGGGCGAAGAAGACAAGGAGCCGGAGGACGAGGTGATGGAGGGGATGACGCCCGAGCCCAAAGAATCAGAGAGGACCCAACGGAATTGATGGGACAAAGCGATATCTCGGGGGGGGTTTTTTTTTGTTGGTTTGTTATCGCGGCAGTATCATATCTCTTTGTTTCTAGTTGCGCGAGGTGCCTCAAACCAAGGAACTTTCCGGGTCCCTCTTGGCCGCTTCCGGTCTCTCAGTCCCAACATTCATGACATCTGTCGCTCTCGCGGCAAGTACCTAGGTACCTAGGTACCCGCCTCGCAATTGGACTTGCCCTCACTCCTGTCCCCCCACCGTCTCCTTCGTTCGAAAACGATTCATAGTGGGCCACGCCGCATCCCAACCCCTCCCGGTCGCCTGTCGCAGGCCGACTAGCATGCTGGCATCTAATAGGCTGCCTTGCCTGCCCTGCCTTATAGGCAAACGTCGACACGGACACCAGACTTTCGTCACCACAACAATTGCCTCCATTTCAACACAGCAACTGCAATCAATCCAGAGAACCCGACTCCGGCTCCAGAAACGCAATTTCACCAACACTAATGTGAACGATTATCGGTCCGCAACCGAGAGAAGGACTTCATAACTTACAAGAGTGTCACCATCCCAGAGACGGGAACGACGCGGTGTGAGAACGAGGCCAAGCAACATGGACAACACATTCACATGGATTCCCACAGGCCAGGAGCGAAAAACTACATTCGCTAAGCGCTTGGTGCCTGAACCCTCGAATGCCGCACCCGACGCCAAAAGATTCAAAAACTCACACGACGACGAACTGCCCGAAACCAAAGCAGATGTACGATCTTCGACCGGCCCCCCGCAGAGGGTTCCTTTTCCCGACAAGGTATGCTCCTCCGTCTGAATAACAAACCTTTAGGTTCTGACCGCCCAAAGCCTGCTGTTCTAGAAGAACGAAATGGGGAGATTGAATTCCAAGTCGTCAACAATGATGGCGCCAAACATAGCATGATCATACTTACAGGTTTGAAATGCTTATTTCAAAAGCAACTACCCAAGATGCCCAAAGATTACATCGCGCGCCTTGTCTACGACCGCACCCATACCTCCATTGCGATTGTCAAGAAGCGTTTGGAGGTTATTGGTGGGATAACGTTCCGGTCATTCAAAGCCCGCCAGTTCGCCGAGATTGTTTTCTGTGCGGTGTCATCTGATCAGCAGGTGAAAGGATACGGAGCGCACCTCATGGCCCATCTGAAGGACTATGTCAAAGCCACATCACCAGTCATGCATTTTCTTACCTACGCCGACAATTACGCCACAGGTTATTTCCAGAAACAAGGCTTTTCCAAGGATATTACTTTGGATAAGTCCCTCTGGATGGGTTATATTAAAGATTACGAAGGCGGGACACTTATGCAATGCTCCATGGTCCCGCGGATACGCTACCTCGACACCGGTCGGATGCTCCTCAAGCAAAAGGAAACCGTACAGGCCAAAATCCGCGCCCTCAGCAAGAGCCATGTCGTCCACCAGCCACCGCCCGAATTCGCCGCCGGCAAACCCATCGACCCGCTCTCCATCCCCGCCATCCGCGCGACGGGCTGGTCGCCGGACATGGACGAACTGGCCCGCGTGCCGCGTCACGGTCCCCACTTCAACGAGCTTCGCCGCTTCCTGTACCAGATCCAGAACCACAAGCAGGCCTGGCCCTTCCTCAACCCGGTCAACAGGGACGAGGTGCCCGACTACTACAAATTCATTGCCTCGCCCATGGACTTGTCGACGATGGAGGGTAGGCTGGAGAGCGACGCCTACGAGACGCCCAAGGACTTGGTGGCGGACCTGAAGCTCATTTTTAGCAACTGCCGCCAGTATAATGATGCGTCGACCGTGTATGCGAAGTGTGCGGCCAAGCTGGAGAAGTATATGTGGAGCCTGATCAAAGAGATACCGGAGTGGTTTGAGTTGTTGGAGGATTGAGTATTGATTTCATATGGGGTTTCTATGTGTGGCTCATTTTTAGGGAGGTTCGGGTGTTTTGGAAAATGTGGAGTGGCGGTTGGGCTGGGTACCCTGGCTTCGGGATATCCGTTTAGTTTCTGGCTTCTTTTCTGGCGTTTTATCTATTTCTGAATGGCAAGTAGGGGGTGGTTACGGTTCGGCTCATGGAATATATGGAGCGGTAATGTTATCATAGGAAAGATTGCTATAATGGCTTTTAAGACATGTCGACCTTCGGTCGAGAATAGAAACGGTGTTTATGGAAGCCAGACGGGCTCTAATCTCGTGTGAACGGCGACAGTGGTGGGCTTCTAGTTGAGAGCCTGGCCCTGGCGTCTCTGGAAGACGCAAAATCATGCATGAACCGAAGGATTTGTAGCTAAGCCCCAAAAGAAGGGAAAGCAAAGAGAGGGTGAGGGATTGAGGATGTCGAGCACCTTTATTAAACGGTCGATGGCGTCGTCGAAGCGGACGAGCACGAAGCCCCTGTACCAATACACACCAAGACGGAAAACTTACGAAACAAGCGTTTTCGGGTCCCACACGAGGGCCCACACACCAAAGCCAAGCGCGAAAAAAGGGGAGCCAGGACGAGCCAGGGGAAAGCGTGGAGGAAGGCCTGGCTGGTTTCGATTCGAGTCTTGCCAATTTAACAAGATTTATCAACCCGCCAACTCCGCCGCCCCTGACACGCGTTTTCGCCCGTCCCGACCAGCATCCTCCCTTTCCTGGGCAACGAGACGAGAGCATCGACCGGCGTTGCTTTGCTTCATTCCACCGGCGAAGAGCACTGCCCCATCTGCTACTTGCGCCACACCGATCGCTGTCCCGCGCGCATCAGAATCAGATTTCCGCAACCGTCTCCGGAAATCTGAGATCTGCTCCTTCGATCTACAGAACTACACCGACTGCTCCATCTCGTGAGCAGAACCTTCGCACAACTCTTACCACCATTCGTCGCTCGTTTTAGTCGATTGAGGATTTCCCGCATCACACAAAATGTCGAACAAGAAGAACGAGGATATCGAGATGCGGGCCGTGGAGGGCGCCAACGACTTCGGGGGTGAGAAGGACCCGTTCCTGGGCAGGAACTCGCCCGTGCTCCGACCCCGCGGCCGCGAGCCCACAGCTTCGGCATACTTCGGCAAGCTCGACAACAGCCCCGGAGCGTCGATCATCGCCTACTGCCTGTCGTCGATCAGCATGACCGTCGTGAACAAATACGTCGTCTCCGGCGAGTCGTGGAACTTGAACTTCTTCTATCTTGGCGTCCAGGTATGCATGTTTAGAGGGGACGGGTGAAGCAAGATAGGGAGCTGACTTTTGTTAGTCGCTTGTTTGCACGATCGCCATTCTCCTCTCCAGGCAGACCGGCCTCATCAAGAACCTTGCGCCCTTTGATTCGAACAAGGCAAAGAGATGTGCGTCAGCCAGACCCCTTGTCCCCCAGACCGTTTGCTGATCGATCCATGGTCAGGGTTCCCCGTTTCGCTCCTCCTCGTCAGCATGATCTACACGGGCGCCAACGCCCTCCAGTACCTCTCCGTCCCGGTCTACACCATCTTCAAGAACCTGACCATCATCGTCATCGCCTACGGAGAGGTGCTCTGGTTCGGCGGCAGCGTGACCCCGCTCATGCTGCTGTCCTTCGGTTTGATGGTGCTCAGCTCCGTCGTGGCTGCGTGGGCTGATATCCAGGCTGCCATCGACGGTGTTGGTCACTCGGCTGAAACTTCGGCTGCCCTCGCGACCCTGAACGCCGGCTATGCGTGGATGGGCTTGAACGTTGTTTGCACCTCCTCGTACTTGCTTGGAATGCGCAAGGTTATCAAGAAGATGAACTTCAAGGACTACGACAGTATGTACGACGGGCTATTTGTGGCAAGGCAGTTTGCTAACTTTCACTCACTAGGCATGTTCTACAACAACCTCCTGACGATCCCCGTCCTCGTCGTTTGCTCGCTGTTGGTCGAGGACTGGTCCTCTGAGAACCTCGCCAAGAACTTCCCCATCGAGACCCGCAACAAGCTGATGGTTGGCATGATTTACTCGGGTCTGGCCGCTATCTTTATCTCGTACTGCTCGGCATGGTGCATCCGCGTTACCTCCTCGACGACATACTCGATGGTCGGCGCCCTCAACAAGCTCCCCATTGCCATCAGCGGTCTGATCTTCTTCGACGCGCCCATCACCTTCGGCAGCATCACCGCCATTGCTGTCGGCTTCGTCAGCGGCCTCGTCTTCGCGTGGGCCAAGGTCCGCCAAAAGGCCCAGGAGGCCGGTCTCCTGCCCACCACTAAGCCCACGATGAGCGCCAGCGCGCAGAGCAACAGGGACGCCAACTCTTGAAGAGAACGACGCATCAGTCCACCACGCTAACGTGAGCCGACTCACCGCACACACGCCGCGCCTGCGCCAAAAGAAACCCCGGATGGCAAGCACCGCGCACCCCTCCCTCGCAGCCTTGAAGAACAACAGTGCTTTAGTAGGGGGCAGGATAATGCCGATGCCATGCCCCGTTCGCTTCGCTTCCCGGCTTGCTTTCTTGTACATCACTTTGTCTTGTGCGCAGGCCCTTTTCTCTCCTTAGCCATTTTAGTGGACGGATCTACTTTTCTCAGCATAGAGCTTTGGCACTGCGGGAGGAAGCACTGGCTTGGGATCTGGTTTTCCTTCTTTACCCATCTTAGAAAACCGGCGTACCTGAATTCTCTTGTTGGTGTAGTTTCAAGGTTTTCTTTCCGTTTCCTTTTCTTTTCTTTTCTTTCTTTTTTTCGAAGACGTAAACGCGCGCATGACTGGCGTTTTGGGATCGGGATGCTACATGGTTGCCGGCGGACAGTCCTTGCTTTTGGGGGTTGGGCCGTTGGGATCGAGGGGGATGGATGGATGGATGGATGGATGGATGGATGGATGGATGGATGGATGGATGGATGGATGGATGGATGGATGGGTGGGCGGGTGGTGTTGGGCCGTTATGGAGCGAAGGACAGAAGGGGATGATGGATGAGCACCGAGGCAATGATGGGCTTGCGAGGTGCTTTTGGCTGGCTGGGTAGCGAAATAGTAATGTGAATGATGTATCGATTGAGTGTCGAAGGGTCGTTGACTTGTGACGGAGGCGATATTCATGG